ACACACACACAGACCGGCACTGATATCTTTGTGGGGACTGTCCATTCATTTCTATGGAGAAAACCCTACTCCCAGTCACAATACCCCTAACCCCCACCCAGCCCTAACCTTAACCATAAGTAAGCAAACTACACATAAGACCTCTGGCATTTTACTTGTACTTGAAGCCACAGATTTTTATAAAATTGATGTTATTGATGATCCTAATGGGGACCTGTGATCTATGCAAACACAAACACAGAGTGACAAAGCGATTAAGAACACCTTTCCTGTCCAAATGTGTCATAAGTAGAAACTGAATATAGTTTTATGAGCTGTTTGACACACCTGCAAGGGAGGGGGGGGGGAACCCCGACAGAGGCTCACTCTGGTACTGGGATGGCGGTCGGCATGGCGATGGCGAAGCTTGGTGGGCTTTGGGTCCCCAAGTGGGAAAAAACTCAAACAAACAATCTCTGAAAACTAGATGAAGACTTCAGATGAAAGTAATAAGGAAAAGGACGGGGGGGGGAGTGACAGGGCCGTGTGTCACCCGCCACTCTGCCAGCGCATCACTCTGCCAGTGCGTCACTCCCAGACTATCTCACACTCAGTTTATGCGGCAGAGCGGGTCCTTCGAGCTGAATTAGCGGGCAAAGCAAACACGCCCCACTGACCACTGTTACGGCGAGATCAGGCAGGGTGGGGTCTCGGGGAGACGCGCTGTGAGGGCGGAGCTCCCTCAGGCACCAGGACGACGTCAATCCAGATCAACCAGGACGGCACCGGGGAGTCACCAACACCCCAGGCGGTCGCCGTCACCTCTAATCCCCAAAATAAACAAACATGGCACTTCACCGGGCCTGCAGCGGGCACTCATGTCCACCAAAGCCCCTGGGATGCCCCCCGCATGTGTCAGAGTCATGTGATCAAGGCTTATATCGGCCTGTGAACACCGCAGCGCAGTAGCAGGCCTTCTTGGAAAGGATAGAGTGAACGTGTGAGAGGGAGAGACGGAGGAGTGAAATGTTAACTCTATTCTCTGTGTTGCTTGGACTGCCAATCAACCTGTCAGTCACATGCTGGCAGACAGACCCCCAGAGGGCGCTATTTATAACCTTTAAATACCCCCCCGCACGGCGGCTTGATCCTCATTCACCGCTTCCTCCACACTGCGCTCCTCCTCCTCTTCTTCTCTTTTGGTGGGATCATGTCAGCGCCATGGATGAGCCGCGGTGCCGTGTAGCTGCACCAGCCGCGTACAGATCCGGGG